AAGTAAATGACCAACAATCTTTCGTAAACAGACGCCAAAAGGATCATAAATCACGGTTATTAATATGATGAGGAAGCGCGCAGTTATCACAATCGTGTAACAATGCCAGAGAAGCAAACATTCAGCATTAAGATCAAATCTTTTATCCCGTTTGTGTCTGCATAAATATTTAAGGAGAATAACTCTGCAAGAATAATAAATCATCCGCATATATTTATCTAGTGCGAAAAACCCCTTTGCTGCTTCTACTGCTGACAATAAAATGATTACACCTGAATAAAAAAAACAAACAGTTATCTATGTCCTCCGCCTCCTCTCTGTACAACAACCAGCCCAGCTGACTCTTGAGGATCCTGTAATGTCGGGTGCACACACTGTAATCCGTCGCCTTTTCAAACACATTCTGATTATTGCGTAGAAACTGAATGCACGTTTCCCTATTTCCATCCCTCCTATATCTGGCCCCACGTCTTTCTTGGATCTAATTATTCCTGTTAAATACATGTACTGGGTAGTGCAAGTTCGAAGGGGCGTGTCGCTGGTGAAATAAATGTGTTTTGTGAGAATGAGCAGCTGCAGTGCCATATAAATGCAGCCATTTTCTCTGGTCAGTGCACTTCCCTGCCCATCCTCACAGCATCATCAAAGCCTCGCTAAGCTTATGTGTTTTTCCGCTTACACACACGTGTGTGTGCGCGAAGAGTGTGTTTGACACTGTGCCAGCCTCTGTGTGTATGCACACATAATTATGCAGCATAGATCTGTGAGTTAGCCCTTGAAAAAACATGCCAGTTCATTCACGCTAACAATACGATATTTTCCAGATGGCACAGGTCCACATTGATCTGCAGCCAGAGCATTTATCCTCCGGTGCTTTCACACATCTACCAATAAAGTCACCAGCAGAAATTCCATCAAAAATGCATATATTACTGAGTTTCTAACCAACAAAAGGCCCAGGCAATGTGTGACAAAATGTCAGGCTTCTGGGGGCTCGTTTGTTTCGAGAAATCATTTTTTTACCAAATAATGATCTAATTAAAAATGCATTCCAAAAACGCTTTGCCAACTAATGAAAATGCGTTTCGTGATGTAGCTCGTTAATATACACGTGTGTATTTTTACCCGAAGCACTATTATCGCATCACGAACAGAAAAACATGAGTCTCAGTGAGGAACAATGCACTCGTATCTGAGAGTCACTAGAACGGCAAAATCTTCCGAGATCACGAGCATTCAGCCATTATTGGTTGATTAGGTCAACAGTTTCTACAGATCTGTGTCTTCAAAGCTAAACTGGAGGTAAGTAAGTATCATGTTGCAAGATGAATGTTGTTACCTTACAAAGCTACATGTATTGCATCCAACAACTACACTTTCCTTTAGCTTAAGTTGAGCTCCACCATCTCCTTCGTGGCTTAATCAGGCTTTAACCCCCAAATGTTCCTCTACCAGCTCAACAATCATCATCTCTGCTTGATGTTTGTGCCATTAAATCCAAATGAAACCAATGTGTAAAATAAAATATACAGTACAGAAGAATATCACGCTCAGGCATAATGTCTTCTGAGCAGAGCCGTACACGCAGACATCTGAGGACTATACCAAAATCAGCATTATTCTTTTTTAAAACAAAGCTCTGATGAGGTTTAGGATAGAGCTACCTAAACCTTGTCAAAACTTCCTCCGTCTCTGATTAGGCAACATATCAGCCTGGCAGATGTACGCTGACGCTGAGCTTTATTTCATCCTGTTCTGATAAACTTTTGTTGCTGAATTTTGACGCTGACGGGTTTTCGCACAAATGAAGACAATACCGAGAGCGTTGCAGACAGCAGCCGCCATCTGTGGTGCGAACCTAACGGCGGTTTATTGATGTGAGCTCTGTTGTTCGAAAACGGAGACATTGACATTTGCAGACGCCTCGTCCTGTGATCAATCAGTTTGAATAATATTTATATCCTCCCTCCTATTATTCCTCCCTCAACATCAACCCTTTGTGTTGTTGTCTTTTTATTTTTGTTATAACATTTAAGCTAACTGCCTGGCACTAGACACCGGGCCACTGGATAAACAGAGTAATATCACTTCTGTAATAAACATGATAAAATGAAGGCAGATGCATGGTAATTGTAGAGCAAGTAAAAAAAAACCTGCTGAGGATTTTGATAGGAGAGGCTGAGAAAGTGTTTTTGTCTCCTTCTTGCAGATCTCAGTAAGTAGGAGGTAGTTAGCCTCTCTTATTCATACTGGATTGCTGTCAATTCCTGGCACAGCCTCTTCCTCACATGGACTGAGATGACAAGGCTATTACTGCAGTGTGGGTCGTCTGCAATTTTTCTTCTTTTTTTTTTTGTGGTTGTTTTGATTTCCTTTTTCTTTTTCTAAAAATTAACTGCTTAAACAGAGTCTCCTTTATGTGAATAAAAAAATCTAAGTAGTGGAAGAAATGAATGTATCCTTCAAAGCAGATCTTGCTCTCCTGAGTGGAGACAAAAGGACTATAACCAATTATCCAGCAGTCTGCAGGAGCATCTGTAACTGTAACCCAATGCGACAACAACACTAAACAAAAATGGTGCTACCAGGTTCGTGAGGAGTGCTTGCTCCTTTGGAAAACAAACGCGATCTAGATCAGAAGTTCTCTGGGCCTGATTCAGATGCCTTTATCTCTTTATCAGGCAAACCAACATTACCCTCTGACCACCACACTCAAAGGTCAAGGCTGGTGCTTCACAAACAAGAGCAAACATGTATGAATCAGGCCCCTGGATTAGCTATACCGCTCATTTCAGTATAACATATAGTTACAAAAATATGACCCAAAATGTCCACTGTTGCTCAATTTTATCATGTTATACCATGCTTTAAAAAAACAAGCTAAAACACTGAAGATGGGTCGTGGATGGGTCTTTAAGCATGGCAATGACCCAAAACATACTGCCAAGGCAACTAAAGAAGAAGTACATTAAGGTCATGGAGTGGCCTAGCTGGTCTCCAGACATCTACACTACAGAAAATATGTGGAGGGAGCTGAAGCTTCATGTTTCCAAGCAGCAGCCAAGAAACTGAAAGGAGTTAGAGAGTTTCTGTAAAGAAGGAAGCTGGTGGCCTACTACAAGAAACCTCTCACCGTTGTGCAACAACAACAGTTTCTCTACCTAAGTACTAAGTTGTGTCATGTTTTGCTTGAGGATCAAATACTGATTTCACTCAGCAACATGCAAATCAATGTATAACTTTTATATAGCGTATTTTATCTTGATTTTTGGTTAATATTCCCTCTCTCCATTAAAATGAAACTAGCATAAATACAAGAGACTGTTGATTTCTTTCTAAGTGAGCAAAAATCAAATAATTATTTACCCCATTGCACTTCTAAAGCAGATCACGTATAATATTTAACTTCTTAAGAAAGAAATCATCACAGTACTGGTAGCTTTTTTGTAAATGTTACTCTAACAGAAGCAGCGCAACTGTTCGACCATAAATTATACACATTTGTGCTCTAGTGAGTATTTACAGCAGTGTATGTGAGATTAGCTTGAGCCATAAAACGCTGCCCCGGTTCACCGTAAGGAACAATCGAGTCACCATGTGCAACAGCGTGAGTCATTTATGTGTTTTTTACAGAAAACAACAGAGCTCCACAACACAGAGGAATAAGCACATTCTGGCTTTACTGTTAGTTTTTCATGAGTTTTGCTGACAAATATAAATCTTTTGCCCTTTAAAACTTTGTTTTTTTCATATTGACAGTGTATTACAAACATAAATAATGTGAACCTTACCTTGTGTCGGCACTTCAGAACAACACCATAGGCACCTGAAACAGAAGCAAAAAGCAGGATTACTTTAATTTCCTTTACTGTTTATTCATCCATTCAGAGTAACTTTTTCTTTCAAGTAGAATCAATAACAGTAAATAATAAAACACAAATTCAGCTTGAAACTCTGTAATTAACATGCCACCATGATCTACAGCCATAAACAAACAAGGAGTATTACTCCAACTGAGAAGAGAAAAGCTTTTGAAATAACCCCTTTGAATGTATCCTATATGTTCGCATGAACTACACATGAACTAA